TGTATTAAAGGAATCTCTATACCCAGTGTAGGGCCCGAACTCATGACCCCAAGATCAAGAGTTGCACATTCTTCCAACTGAGCCAGCCAGGTGCCCCGACAGCATACATGAACCATACGGGTCTCCTGAACCATTTCCCTACTTGAATTTCTTTTTTATATGGATTTATTTATTAAGCTCATTTATTTATTTACTTTTAAGAAATCTCTACAGAGCACCTGAGTGGCTCAATCGTTAAGTGTCTGCCTTCGGCTCAGGTCACAATCCTAGGGTTCTAGGATCAAGTCCCACATTGGGCTCCCTGCTCAACAGGAAGCCTGCTTCTCCCTCTCCTACACCCCCTGCTTGTTTTCCCTCTCTCACGGTGTCTCTCTCTGTCAAAAAAATAAATAAATAAAATCTTTAAAAACTCTACACCCAATGTGGGGCTCAAACTCATAATCAAGAGTCCAGCCAGCCAGGCACCCCAAACTACTTGAATTTCTTACCAAGGGCAGAACCACAGACTTTTTTTTCCTGCCAAGTATCGACACACTACATCCGATGATAATCATTCAGAGAACCAACCCTACTCCATTTTCAGACCCTGTGATTTGGATGAGGTCACTCTGGGCATAGAACACATTTACATAACCCAGATCTAAGTCATTCAGCACATAACATTCTCTAAGCTACAATCATTGTTTCAGGAATGGGCATGTAACCCCGTCAGAGCCAAAATGCACATGGAGAACGTTCCTTCAGGGGGAATCTGTTGCTCTTTCCAACTAAAACCAGATGTGAGAACAAGATGCTGCAGCCATGTTGACACCACAAAGGTATGCCAATCTATCTATAGAAAGATATAATTTATTCACTCACTGAACAAAAATTTAATGAGTACCCATGATGTGTTAGACACTGTTGTAGGTGTTGGAGATACAGCAGTGAGTAATATGTATTGTCCTTGACCCCATAGAACTTACAGTCTAGTAGGGGACATCTAATAACAACAACAAACACTTGAATAACATTTATTATGTGTCAAGCACTGTTCTAAGTCCTTTATACATATCAGTTCTTTTCATCATCACATCCCTATCCCTATTTTATAGATAAGGAAATTGAAGGAGAGAGAACTTGCCCTGGTCACACAGTAAATAATGGAACTGAAAATCAAACCCAGGATATCTGGCTCAATAATTTTTTTTTAAGATTTTATTTATTTATTTGACACAGAGAGAGAGAGATCACAAGCGGGCAGAGAGAGGGGGAAGCAGGCTCCCTGCTGAGCAGAGAGCCCGATGCGGGGCTCTATCCCAGGACCCTGAGATCATGACCCGAGCTGAAGGCAGAGGCTTAACCCTCTGAGCCACCTAGGCACCCCTGGCTCAATAATCTTTGTGCTCAATCAAGATATTATAAACTGTCTTATCAAAGGAGGGGAAGAAAAAAATAAGCATCCTCGGAGAGAATTTAATCAGTCATGGAAGGAACGACAAAAGGAGACACCTGAAGTGGGAACGAATACCAGGCAATTGGGAGACTGAAAAAAAATTCAGTTAAGCTGAAAAAGAGGAATGACAAGAGTTGCGACTAGCGGAGGCGTGTGGCTGAATCAGTCCAAAGAGTCCCACATTGAATGTAGAGATTACTAAAAATAAATAAACTTTTAAAAAAAGCAAAACAGAGAGGAATCTAGCAAAGTAAGCCAAAGCCACGTTACTTTACACTTTTTTCTGAGGACAGTGAAGCAAGGGATTCAGTTCAGATTGGGGCCATGAGGGGTTGGTAAGACTGTGAAGACTCTTGACGATGCTCCTATAGCATTTCAGGCATGCAAGAAAATCATTGCAGGTAGTGATAAATGCTGTGAGAAAAGGACATTTAAGCTGAGACCTGAATAGGAAGCAGAAGCCAAATCTAGAACATAGGAGGCAGGAGCAGCAGATATAAAGGCCTTGGGGCAGAAATGAGCTTGGTATATTCAAGAAATGACGGGAAGAGGGATGGCTCTCCCTCGCTCTCAAACAAATAAATAAAATCTTTTTTTTTTTTTAGGTTTTATTTACTTATTTGACAGAGACACACACAGAGAGAGCCCACAAGTAGGGGGAGCAACAGGAAGAGGGGGAGGGAGAAGCAGGCTCCCCACTGAGCAGGGAGACCGATGCAGGACTCGATCCTAGGAACCTAGAACCTTGACCAGAGAAAAGACAGCCACTTAATGACTGAGCCACCCAGGCGCTCCAAAAATAAAATCTTTTAAAATGGGGCGGGGGGAGGGGCACCTGGGTGGCTCAGTGGGTTAAGCCTCTGCCTTCAGCTCAGGTCGTGATCTCAGGGTCCTGGGATCAAGCCCCACATTGGCCTCTCTGCTCAGAAGGGAGACTGCTTCCCCTCTCTCTCTCTGCCTGCCTCTCTGCCTATTTATGATCTCTCTCTGTCAAATAAATAGATAAAATCTTAAAAAAAAAAAAAAAAAGCCAGGGTGGGGAGGCAGAGGGAGAGGAAGAAGCAGACTCCTCATGGAGCAGGGAGCCCAAGGCACGGCTCAATCCCGGGACCCTGGGACCATGACCTGAGAGGAAGGCATACACTTAACCCACTAAGCTACCCAGGCATCCAGAGATCAAGCATTTTTAAATAAATGCTGATGAGAGGAATACAGTACAGAGAGAAACTGTCTCTATAGAAAATAAAGATTAAAACAATTAGCTTTAAGATAAGGACATTTATTGAGAGCCTCCATTGTTCTAAATCCTCCATTGTTCTAAATCCTAGACTCAAATAAACACATGGTATTAGGTAGACGTGTTTATCATTTTCTTCTTCATTTTACAGATGACAAAACTGACATTTGGAAAGTTGAAATAACTTGTCCAAACTCGCACAGCTAAGTGGCAAGTTGACATACGAACCGGCGCAGTCTATTTCATTTGATTAGCCTCTCCTAATCTCACAAAATACATTTCCCTACAATATCCTTTGAGGGAAAATCTAGGGGAAAGAAGAGAATTAACAAAGCACTTTGACACATTTCCTCCAAGTTTTTGTGTTATCCCAGGGATTCTTCCAAGGTGTTCTCTATTGCCAATGCTGTAGTACTTGGTATGTGTCCTTTGGGTGACTTTGCATTTATTTAATTAAGCTCTTCAGCCACCATTTAACCTGAAATTGCCCTTCAACCAAATTACAGTTGAAATGGCATTTCACCTTACTCTCCATGCAAGATTCATATTTTTCTGGTTGTCAGCTGCCCTGTATTAAGTGGTATTTTATTCTTTGGGCACCCATATGCCCAAGGAACATCCAGAATATCATGTTCCAGAAAGGTTGTTTCTTCCGCTAATAGAGCAGGCAGACTGAAAGCTGGAGCCTGGCGCCATTTGCAAACCATCAGTGCATTTAGATGCCCAGTCTCTGTCAATCTTGTGTCACTCAGAGCTATTCTGGACACTCAGCCTCCACTCCAACAGCAGCCCAGTCAGTTGGTTCCATCCTCCCAACAATTCTCCCCTCTCTGTCCTATACCAACAATTTTCTCCTCTCTACCTGGTCATTGCCATGAGCAAACAAAAATCTTTGATCTTAGAAAAGAAAATCTTTTCTTAACCCCACTTCTCTCCCCTTCTTCTGTTACCACTCCCTTTTGCTCTGCTCCCCTGGAAAGATGCATATATATTTTTCCCCCTGGCTTTTCTCAATTACCTCTCCTCTCATTCTCGCTCTATTTTAAAGATTTTATGTATTTGAGAGAGAGAGAGATAGAGCAAAGCAGGGGGAGCAGCAGGTAGAGGGAGAGAGAGAAGCAGGCCTCCCACTAAGCAGGGAGACCCATAGAGGGCTCCATCTCAGGACCGTGGGATCATGACCTGAGCCGAAGGCACACACTTAACCAACTGAGCCATCCAGGCACCCCTCTCTCTCTTTTAAGTAAGCTCTACACCCAACCCAACACTGGGCTCAGATTCACAAGCCTGAGATCAGGTGCCGCATCTGAACCAGACAGTCGCCCCATCTTTCATTCTGCTACCTGAACTGTTCCTGTCAGGTGTCTCTGTCTCTGTCTCTGTCTCTGTCTCTCTCTCTCTCTCTCTCACACACACACACAGGGCCTCCAGAACACAAGTCCTGTGACAGAGATTTTTGTCCATTTTCTTAATTCACGCATCCCCATCACCTGGACACGGCCTGTACACAGCATATGAATAAATCCCCATTTCTCCAACAACTGCAACATTTCTCTCTCAATTTCAAGAGTGAGACTGAGAGACTTCAAGGATAATTAAGGGTTAAGGGCGCAAAACGACTAAGATACATCAAGCTCCGCAGGCCGCTAAGGCAATCTGGGGAGACTGTAGCTGACTACGCAGCTTCTCCTCCCTTTACAGAGCCTCTGGTTTTTCCTCAGAAAGGAATGGCCTTAGGGAGAAGATAGTAACGGAGGTTCATAAATGGGAAATCGGGTCTACTGCTCCTCAGGAACACCGACCCAGGGAGTACTCCCTACAGGAGGCTCACATAAAGCAAAGGTGCAGACTGTCGGAAAACGCGGCCCACCGCTAGTACAAGCCAGCGATATACTGGGAGAGAACCTGCAAGCCTGAAACCAGAGAGAACTAATAAGGCACGCATTCCGGTTCCCAGGACCTTCCCTCCTTCGGTGCATTCGTTTCTCCAGCTGGGAGAAGTCAGAAGCTAAGAGAAAAATTTCTGCCGCTTGTCCTCATGGGAGCTGTAGTCTCTCAGGGCTCGAAGGGCCTTTTATAAAACTTCGGCAGGAGGCGAAGAAAACAGGATATTTATGGGAGTCCAAAAGGATCATTATGTCCACGCAAACTCTAAATACACATTTTTCCTTTCCCTTAGCCTTGGTCAGTCTCCGGAGCAGTTTCTCCCCCAGACCACCTCCAACATCATCTGTATTTCCGCACTCTGGGCCAATCTAGCATCCCTCGTTCGCTTTTCCACCGCCCTATCCAATCGTAGGTGAGTTCCTGGTTAGTTCCCGGAGTGCCTTGCGGCTGTAATGGCTGCTCCCAGCCGTCGCGCGGCTACGCTGTTTCGGGCGGTGTCAGGGGTCCGGCAGTTGGGCACCAATGCCGCGAGGGAGCGGGGGGTCCGGCTCTCCTCGCTCTTTGACTGTCAGCGGAGGTGCGTGTCCTGTTTCGCGGGCGCCGCCTTCTCTGGTCCCCGCCTGTCCTCTGCCTCTCGCCGTTATGGCCAGAGCTCAGCCTTGGAACGCTTCCTTGGACTCTCTCAGCCAGACAGTTCGTTGACTTCTCACCCTCCCGGCGTGTCTATGCACAGAGGTAAAGCGCCCAGATAGGCTTGTCCCAGACTGTCACCGTTTTAGCGAAAACGTGAAACTTCTGGGTCTGGGAAACTCCTCAGTCCCTGGGGATATCATCTTTGGTCCTATATTATGGAAAACGATCATGAGGCCCCGAGAGAAAGGCGAGCCTTGGAGTATCTCACAGGGGAGAGATACCACGTTCTAAGAGTTGGGAGCCAGAGGGAACCAATGTGGTCACAATCAGAGACACTCACAAAGAGCAGGAGATTGAAGGGACACGGGCAGGGCAGAATTGTGGCTCTCTGTCCCGAAATGGGAAGCGAACTGGATCCAATAAGTGCCCCATCTCCTTGTCAAGAGACTGAGTTACACCTAGGAAATAGCACCCTCTGTTTCTCAAGTAGCAGAGACTACACTCTGGTAGCAGGCTGGACACAGAAACTGGTCATGGTAATGCAGTATTATAAGAAACTAATACTTAAAAGCACTGAGAAAGCTTGCAGAGCCTTTATAACACCCTTAGTAGGGTGAGATTGTCTGAGCTGGAGGGATTTCTGACTTTATCTGTTCTGGCTGTGCTTTCACACATGTACACATGTACATACATTTATCAGGGACAACTACACAGTACAATTCCACACAGTAATTGAGTATTAAATGCCAGGGATTGTGTTGATAGTTTTTGCAAAAGTGCCAATCGTCAGAAGGTTTTAAGTAGGCATTGTTAATATTATCTCCCATTTTACAGGTGAGAAAACTAAGGAGCTTAGAGAAGTTAGAGAATTTGAGAAAATCATATAAACAAATGAATGGGCAAACTAAGTCTCAAAGCCAGGTCTCAGCTTCAACCTGGTACACTAAGCTTGTATTCCCTATTTCCTTTGTGGGCCAGTAGGACTGAGTACCTGAGAGGGGATCCATATTGCATTACCTGTCGCTTCCTTCCTGTCCCTACCCAACGCACAGATGAGCAGGATCTCCTATTGGTCCATCATCCCAACATGCCTGAGAACCCCCGGGTCCTACGAGTCGTCATCCTGGGTGCCCCGAATGCAGGGAAGTCAACACTCTCCAACCAGCTGCTGGGTCGGAAAGTACTGCATCTTTGACACCCCCTCCTACCCCGCCCCTTTCATCTGTCACTTTTTTCTGTTTTTTCATGAATTGTTCCACAGTGATCTGGGAACTCAGTTGGGACTTCTTTGTTTTTGGCAGGTGTTCCCTGTCTCCAAGAAGGTGCACACCACTCGCTGCCAAGCTCTGGGGGTCATCACGGAGAAAGAGGCCCAGGTGGTGGGTACCTTCAAAGGAAGTCAAGCAAACTGAACAGTGGGTGAACTTAAGAGGATCTCCCTTACAGTTAGACCTGAACAAAATGTTTAGATTCACTTTTTTTTTTTTAAGATTTATTTATTTATTTATTTATTTGACACAGAGAGAGAGAGAGATCACAAGTAGGCAGAGCAGCTGGCAGAGAGAGAGGGGGAAGCAGGCTCCCCACTGAGCAGAGAGCCCTATGAGGGGCTCGATCCCAGGACCCTGTGATCATGACCTGAGCCAAAGGCAGAGGCTTAACCCACTGAGCCACCCAGGCACGCTGAGATTCACTTTTCTGAGGGAAGGGGGTCTCCTCTTTCATTAGGCCTAGTGCAGTTCTCTCTACTTTACACCCTCTGGCTTCTAGTCAGAAAGATCTATTTCCCTCTTTACTCCTTCCTAATCTTCCATATATTCACAGTCATCATCTTTCTCTTAGATCCTGCCTAGAATTAAAACAAAGCTGAAGGGTAAAAATCTGAAGTCATCCTGTCCTGGAGTGGGTGCAGTTTTCTGACATCAGTGGTGGCCTTTCTCTCACTTGCTAGTCCTAATCGCTCCATCTTGGGGGGTGGGCATCTCTCTTTCCTGATTTTAGATTCTACTTGACACCCCTGGCCTCATCAGCCCTGTTAAACAGAAAAGGTAATAGCTATGGAAACAGGTTTGTAGAGGGAAAGGTGTGAGGAGAAGGTGGGGAGATTCCACCATAAGGTCTGGAAAACCCTCTTATCATACCCTATCCCTCATTAGGAGTATATCAGTCATAAGACCCTTTCTGACCTATGTTTGTCTGTCCCTCAGGCACCATCTGGAGCTTTCTTTGTTGGAAGATCCATGGAAGAGCATGGAATCTGCTGATCTGGGTTAGATTCATGATGGGAATCTGAAGCCCAATTTACATGGTCACGGTCTCTTGTTCCTGGTAGTTTGGGGGATGGGGGTTGACCCAGAGCCCATATCATGGACATTTTGGAGGGGTGGGGAGAAGAGTTGTCATATATTTGTCTTGCTCCCCACCCTGCCAACTTCTAGTTGTGGTCCTTGTGGATGTCTCAGACAAGTGGACTCGGAACCAGCTCAGCCCCCAGGTGCTCCAGTGCCTGACTCAGTTCTCCCAAGTCCCTAGCATCCTTGTCATGAACAAGGTGAGCACCACCTACTTGATGAAGGGGTCTTCTCTCCTCTGTGGGGCCCATCTCTCTGACCACACACCCTTTGCCCATCTTCCACGCCCAGGTAGATTGCCTGAAGCAGAAGTCCATTCTTTTGGAGCTCACAGCAGCCCTTACCAAAGGTGTGGTCAATGGCAAGAAGCTCAAGATGAGGCAGGCCCTTCCCTCACAGCCTGGCACTCCTTGCCCCAGCCCAGCAGCTGAGGGCCCAAAAACACAGTCTGTGGGAGGCCCTCAGAGGATCGGTTGGCCCCACTTCCAGGAGATCTTCATGTTGTCAGCCCTAAGCCAAGAGGATGTGAAAACACTAAAGGTCAGTTAGCCTTGACCGGAGCCTGGCCTTTGATTTCTACCATGTGAAGACAGGCCTCGGAGTTCCTCCTGGTAGTGAGAGTGAGTAGGAAAGTCTTGGTTGGGACTGAGCTGCCCACCTGTCCCTCTCTGTACCCACAGCAATACCTCCTGGCACAGGCCCGGCCAGGACCCTGGGAATTCCACAGTGGAGTCCTCACTAGCCAGACGCCTGAGGAGATCTGTGCCAACATCATCCGAGAGAAGCTCCTAGAGCACCTGCCCCAGGAGATTCCCTACAGTGTGCAGCAGGTGTGGGCACAGTGAAGGAATTTGGGGGCTCTTCACCAGGCACAGCACCTAGGACCAGACACATGGGGCCTGGAGAGCTAGGAATGTGGGTCCGTCTGACTAATCATGATGTCTCCCTGTGCAGAGGACAGTGATGTGGGAGGAAGGGCCAAGCGGGGAGCTGGTGATCGAACAGAAGCTTCTGGTGCTCAAAGAATCTCATGTGGTAAGCCGGGTTAGGCTTGGAGAAAGGACCAGGGCATTAGGCAAGGGTCTTCCTCCACTGCTCAGGAGCCCCGAGAGCAGCCTTGTGTGTGTGTGTCTCTCTCTTTCTCACCCCACCCTCAGAGGATCCTGATTGGTCCAAAGGGGCGCTTGATCTCCCAGATTGCACAGGAGGTGGGCCGAGATCTCATGGACATCTTCCTCTGCGATGTTCAGCTGCGGCTCTCTGTGAAGCTTCTCAGATGACTGCCCTCAGCTGCCTCTCCCATGGCATCCCAGCCTAAGCTGGTGTCAGGAGCCACTGACCAGGATGGCCCCTGCCCAGGGATGGGGACTGGTGAGAGGCATGGGCACTGCCTGATGGACTGACTGGCTGGCATGGCCTTAGTGAGTCTGCCTAGCCCCTGCCTGACCACATCTGTTGGTGGAAGAAACTTAGCTCAGTTACGGGGTCGTGCCTCTGCCTGGGATTCCAGCTGCTGAGCTCTAGAAATTGGCTCTTCGGTAGGAACAATGTCACTCTGCTTCTGGCTGGCATCGAACCCAGAGTTTCTCCCTGAGTTGCCAGTTTTAGCAGAGAGGGCTTTTTCCTATCCCCTCAGTTCCTCTACCTTAAAGCCACGCATAAGGACTTGTGGGTCCTAAGGGAGATAGTGCCACTTGCCCCATCCCTCTCCCCAGTCTCGAATGCTAATAAAATTATAAGACAAGCATACTGGTTCTCATCTTTATTTCTTTAGAACAGGAAAGAGAAAACCCATTCCCTCACCCCCAACCTGTTGTCTGAGCTGGAGTCTCCCTCCCTTCCAGTGATCTGCTCCAGGGTCCTGAGCTCTCTTCTTGACACGTATTCTGGGTACAGCAAGAGAACCGTTACCATTACTAAACTCAGTAATGGTAACGGTTTCCTCGCCATCCCCAAGCGTCCTGGTGGTCAGCAGGCTGTGATAGGCTGGGCGGCGAGCCTGGTGGGTTTGCAGCATCCCCTGCCCTCCTCATCTGGCTCCAGAGCTGTGGGGACCCGGACTAGTACATCATCTATACTGTAGTATCTCATTGCAAACTTACAGTATATGATGATATCCCAGCCAGGGCCCCGCAGCAGGCACAGGGAGCATGGCTTGGAGAGCACTGAGGCAGGGAGAGACACGGGCTGGGAGCAGAGCAGGACCAGTCAGTGCTGGACATGCAGCACTCCCCACTCCCTGCTCCATAGCTTCTGAGCCAACAGCTCCTTGATGGCTGTGGTCAAGGTCAGGTAAGGAAGGGGCCTGGCCGGGAGAACCCTGCAGAGCTAGGGTCTGTTGAGATCTCCCTGGGGACCCAGTGTCAGAATTAAAGAAGCCAGAGATCCCATGATGAGGCAGAAGTTTCCCTCAGGTCAGACCAACAAGTAGACAGGCCCAGGAGAGGGTACTCACCTGGAGCTGGAACTGAAGACGGGGAGGCCTTCAGGGGTGAGGAGGCCCTGACCCTGCCTCTCAAGCTGCCCGCCTTTTAATCCACTGGCCCCTCCCTTGGGTGGGACACTTTCCCTGGGTTCTAGAAAGCCCAGCCTCTTAACCCTTTCCCTACTGGGCTCCTTGGAACAAGGGTGACTGGTCACTCTATCTAGTAGGCCCTTTCTCCCATAGACTTTATGGACCTTTCTAAGGCTAGGGTCTACCTTTCAGTCCTGTCCCCTTGAAGTCGATCATCTGTCTGCCAGGCCTGGGAGGAGGAAGGACAGCCTCATCCCATCCTTTAGGCTTTCATTGTCAGCCATAGCTAGGTGCCAGTTGTTTCGGCCATGGCACTAGTGTGATGGCAGTGGAAATGTTAGTTGAATCCTATAAAGTAGGAAGGGTCCTGAAAGCTGGATTCCTGAGGCAAGCTCTGGCTTAAATTTCAGTTCCTGGGCCCCTGCCTATGTTTATGCAGAGCCCAAGGAGGATAGACCTAGGCTACCTCTGCCATGCAAGCTCCCCTGGGTAGAGGGGTCCTCTGCTGGGTCATTTGAGGGCAGGGGGATTCAAGCTCTTCTGAGAGCCAGCATAAGAACAGGTAGGGGCCTGTTGAGTGCTAAGCCACTTACAGTGAGAGCCTGGCAGTATTCAGTGCAAGATTCTTCGTGTAGAGACTTCTCAGAAAGCCGGCGGGGGGAGGGGTCTGTTTATTTCATTTTATTTTATTTACTTCCCCCCCAAGATTTTATTTATTTGAGAGAGAGAGTGAGAAAGAGCACCAGAGGTGAGAGGATCCGAAGGAGAAGCAGACTCCCCACTGAACTGGGAGTGTGATGTGGGACTCATCCCAGGACTCCAGGATCATGACCTGAGCTGAAGGCAGTTTGCCCAACCAACTGAGCCACCCAGGCGCCCCTGATTTTTAAAGATTTATTTATCTGAGAGAGAGAGAGAGAGAGCATGTGCTTGTGATGTGGGGGCAGGTGGTGGGACTAGAGGGATGCAGGGTAGGAGGATCTAAGGAAGAGGAAGAGACTCTCAAGCAGATTCCCAGCTGAGTGCAGAGCCCAGTGCAGGGCTCAACCCCACAACCCTAGGATCACACCCTGAGCTGGAACCAAGAGTTGGACACACAACCGACTGAGCCCCCCAGGCGCCCTGCAACTGTTATTTTAGACCCCACATTCTGGGAGACACATCTGCTGCTCGGCTCCCTCCCCTTCTCCATCCTAGACAATCTGGTCTGTGTGCTGGGAGGCAGTTAGACCCCAACTCAGCAGGGGCAGATGGGGCCAAGATGGGGAGTGGGAGGAGAGACCAAACCTTTTGGTTCCTGGGAGATGTTCTGCTTCTTGCTGCCACAGAATGTTGGCACATGCTCTTCCCCCTGGTTTTGGTTTTGGTATTTATTTATTTTTAAAGATTTTATTTATCCATTTGTCAGAGAGGCAGAGTGGCAGGCAGAGGCAGAGGGAGAAGCAGGCTCCCCACGGAGCAAGGAGCCTGATGCAGGACTTGATTTCAGGACGCTGGGGTCATGACCAGAGCCGAAGGCAGCTGCTTAACCATCTGAGCCACCCAGGCATCCTGGTTTTTGTTTTTAATCTTTTTTTTTTAAACTGTATTTTTTAAGATTTTATTTATTTAATTGACAGAGATCACAAGTAGGCAGAGAGAGAGAGGAGGAAGCAGGCTCCCCGCCGAGCAGAGAGCCCAATGTGGTATTTGATCCCAGGACCCTGGGATCATGACCCGAGCTGAAGGCAGAGGCTTTAACCCACTGAGCCACCCAGGCGCACCTAGTTTTTATTTTTTATTTGAGAGAGTGCAGACCAAGAGAGAGAGATCATGAGCCAGGAGGAGGGGCAGAGGGAGAGGAAAAAGCTGACTCCCCACTGAGCAGGGAACCCCTACACAGGACTCGATCCCAGGACCCTGAGATCATGACCTGAGCCAGACACTTAACTGACTGAGCCACCCAGGTGCCACTGTTTTTGTGGGGTTTTTTTTAGATTTTGTTTTTTTAAGATCTCTATAGCCAACAAGAAGCTTGAACTTACAAAACCAAGATCAAAAGTTGCATGCCTGCCTGACTGAGGCAGCCAGGCACCCTGCTCTTCCCTCTGGCACAATCTTCGCTCTTTTATCATCTAGTTAACTCCTGTTCCTCTTCATATGTAAGTAACACTTCAGCAGGGAAGTCTTCTCTGGCTGGTTAAATCTCCCTATTATGGGCTCGTTTATTTGTGTGATTAATCATTTAGGCAAATAATCACAGAGGCCTGGTTGTTGGCCGATCCTGTCAAATGTCTGACAGGGAGCTAAACTGTTGATGTGATGTGGGAGAGGAGAAAAACTTTGGCCTGGGGAGGAAGGCAGACAAAATTGTAGCTCTTAGGCAAGTCTTTTTCTCCCAGACCCTTCCTGTTCTCCATGTAGACAGTAATAGCCATCCCCAGTCCAGAGCTGGGAACTCGGTGACTAGCTACCTGCAAAGCACTTAGCCAAATGAAGTAGCCAAATGTCCCTCATGGAATATTCTCGAAAGCTGCTCAAGGCCATTGAGAGCCCAGGTTTAGAAATAAAGGGCCCTGGGACAATAGGCTGGCTCAGTAAGTGAGGCATGTGACTCTTGACCTTGGGGTTGTAAGTTCAAGCCCCACACTGAGTGTAAAGATTGCTTAAAATAGGGAGTACTGGGTGGCTCAGTGGGTTAAGCATCTGCCTTTGGTTCAGGTCATGATCCCAGGGTCCTGGGATGGAGCCCTGCATCGGCTTCCTTGTCGATAGGGAGCCTGCTTCTCCCTCTGCTCCCTGCTCATACTGTCCCTATCTCTATCTCTCTCTCTCTCTCAAATAGATAAAATATTTTGAAAAATAAATAAAATCTTGAAAGAAAAGAAAGAGAGAGAGGAAGGAAGGGAGGGAGAGAAAGGAAGGAAGGAAGCAATTATAGGCCCCGAATGACAGTCCGTCTCCTGCATCCAGCTCTGTGTCCTTGGACCGAGAACTCTCAGGTTCAGTTTTCTTGTATGTCCAATGGGAGCAATCCATACCTAGCTCCTGTGGGGGTGACCAGGGTCATGGCAGTGCTCATCAAACTCCCAGGTTGTGCACCTGTGGAACCAATGTCCATGTCCTTCCCTCTTTCCTCTGTCTCACTCATTAGCTGTGTGACTAGAGGCAAAGTGCCACTTCTTTGGGCTTTGCTGTTAACACATAGTTCACCAAGTTGTAAGAACTGAGAAATATGTCTGAGAAACCTTCCTGGCCCTCTAGCCAGGTGAGAAATTATCATATGTCTGCTCCTTGCTCACTTTCCTGTCCTGCGACCCCTCTTACCTCACCTATTCTACTCAGAAACCTCACAAGCAGGTCAGGCTCCTTTACCAGAGTAAAGGCTTCATGCACTGAAGCCAAGATTTATGCCACTCATTGCCTAGGCTCCTGCCTGGTCCTCGCTTAGTCCTAAGACCAAAGGTGGACATGGGCAGAAACCAGGGGTCCTGAGGGTAAAACAGAGATATCTCAGCCCGCCAGAGATTCTGAGGCTGTGGCCCTGGCTGGGGTGGAGAGTGCTCTCATGAGGGTGTGGGCTGGAGTAGAGTCTGAGCCTGGGTGGGGTATTCTGGGGACCATGATAAGCAGCCTTGAGACTATCAGGGTGGTGGCCCTTCTTATCAGAAGCCTGCAGATGGCACAGTAGGACCTGGGGACACTTCCCGCCCAGAGCTGTCTCCTGGATGGCCCCCCTTCCATCCCTTTGCCTCCTTAGAGCCCTTCGGGAAGTCATATATGGAGACTCTGCCCCTTCTCCCCGGCCAGCATGGGGGTGGGGGATACAATCCATTTCCTTGGGTCTGGTCTTGCATTCTAAATTTTATTTATTTATTTGAGAGAGGAAGCACAAGCAGCGGGAGCAACACAGAGAGAGAGAGAGAGAGAGAGGGAGAAGGCAGAGCTCGATCTGAGGACTCTGGGATCATGACCCAAGCCAAAGGGAGACACTTAAATGACTGAGCCACCCAGGCGCCCATGACCTTGCATTCTAACAACTGTTGCTTCAGATCAGGAGTTCCATGGCTCTCCTGAGGCCAGTGTGGACTGGTCTGGGACCTTGACCTTCTCATGTCTAATTCCAGTCCCTGCATGGACAGCAGCTTCGAGCCCTTGACGCTTATTTTGATCTTCTTTGGCTGAAATCCTTAAACAGTACGGTGAATGACAAAGTTAGGGAGGGTCAGATCTGCAAGAATCCTTCAAAATCA